ACCCTTTGTCAATATTTTCGATTTTTTCGCTTGATATCCGTCACCGGTTCTTTTCAAAAATGCGATCAGCTTGGGGAATTTGCTTATATCTATGTTGTCGTAAATTATCAAGCATGACTTAACCATAGAATATTGCGCCCATAATGTGGAAGACTTGTAATTCTTTGCATTTTCACTGAAGTATGCCAACAAAACATTCTCGCTGTATACTTGAACATTTTTCTCGGCGCACCACTTTTTGAACCGATTGTAGGCTATATCGTATAAAGATCTTGACTTCGTAGGCAGCAAATTGCTTATTGCAATATTTGCAGCCTCCACAATCTCTTCCGACTCACAATTATTCATTGTGCACTAAACAAACTTTAAACTAAACCAAACTAGCACCTTAATTTGACAATTCTTTTTGTTTGTTTATTTTGTAGTTATGACAATAACTCAACGACTACTAAATAAATGCTCAAATCCGAATACAATAATTCTGGTGCTACTTACTTCATAATGACAAAATATGTGTTTTTAAGTTAATGAGACCGTGGAAAAAATAGTATATACCATTCGGGAGAGATGCTATTTTGTCCTCGGTGCATTGTAGCCCTCGGGCTTCAAATTGCACCTCTGCCAAAATAACGATTTCTCTCCCTTATAGTATAATGTACTATTTTTTTTCTATTTCACTGCATTATCCCCCACTGATCTACAACACAGAACTCGAACCTAAGCAACAAGAATTTGGAACCTATTGGCAGCTATCCAACAAAAGAGACTTATGATTTGTTTACCAGAAAATAGTATTATTGGTATATTTGATAAAATACTATATCAACCACAAAAAAATCCTTCCTTAGAATTTTATACAGACATGATGTACAAAAAAATTATTTTTCATAATTACGTATTTCCTACTTCGTTGCTATATTTTAATAACAAAATAAAGTAGTGTGCTACATAGAAAATTTAAACTTTTTACCGTCGTTAGAAAAAAATCATTATATTTATTCTCTACTGCCAAAGTAAATTAATCTATCTATAGACAATATTATTAATTTTCATTAAAAAAAAATCATTGTATTTATGCGTTAGTTAGTTATTTGAGAAATATTTAGAAAACTAAATCATACTTAAGAAATAGGTATACTTAAATAATTTAATATAAATAACTAAAAAATACATATATGTACCTAGGTACGTTAAACTAAATATTATTTATTTGTATTGGCAATTTTGTTTGAATGTTTATTAAAACTATGTGACCTAAGCCTTTATGATTCTGTAAATCCTGTAGATCGTAATACCCAATTTTTACCTGTAAAGGTTGAACTAAGTGGTATTTTTCAATGATGAAAACATAATATTAATGTAAAATTTAATTATAATACTAATTTAATGACAATATTTAAGACTGCGGAAGAATTGTCGTGACGAGATATCTACAAATACTATAATCTCCTTTGCGGAACTTAGATAAAGTTGCAGTTGTTTCTATGCATTGATCATATGTGTAAAGTTTTATTATAAGAATCAATTTAAGGTGAAGGTCAGTGGTCTCTCCAGCGACATTGTTATGGAAATTAAGAAAAGGTTTTTATATTAATTCTACCTTATACTCCTAAATATTATAGATTATAGATACAAACATTTCCTTCTAATTTGTAACCAATTTAATATTCAGATAAGACTAAGCCTATTGGGTTATAAGTTTCTTATAGGTCAGAAAATTGAGACACATTGAAAAACCATAGCTATGAAAATTGTGTATGTGATAACTACCTACTGCATTTATATTATTTCATAGCTCATACACTGTAATCAAAAATAGTAAAATTTCACTCAAATTGCACTCAATAATGTATCACTTTCTTTTCATATCCGATAGAGTGAAACTCGCTCTATTAGTATGAGTACAACTGAAATTTTGACTGAAACTATTGCAGAAGAAATGATTAATTTTACTCAAATCTAAATTTCCGCCAACAATCCCTTAATGACTTTATTCTATGCTCAACATGTAAGACCAATAATTGAGAATTAACTTTTTTGTAATGATAAATATAACTATTACTGTGCAATTCTTTGTTCAGACTTAGTTTAACTGCCTAAGCATAGAGTGAAAAAAGAATTTCACTCATAAATGGTTAATAATATTTTACCGTATATAATTTAATATAATATATTCAATTTAACAATAGCTACTTTGAGTGCCGTCAGTAATATTTTCTCCAAAAAATAATTACAGACTTACTTTTTTATGGTTTTAAGATATACACACTTTTAAGTGAGAAAGGTGTAGGTAGGTACTTGATGGTTACCGACAAAATGAATCGTTTAGTAATGAAGATACCTAGGATGAAAGTGCGGACCAAAACAGTGTACAGTATTGCCTATTAACTCCTGGAAACTGTAATTTCCTGGGTAATATATATGTACTTTTCTTAGTTACCCGATTTTTTCTAGAATTTTCTCACATTACATAAAATTTCTCTTCATATCTTACAACTTCCCCAAATTTTCTTGCATTACCTGGTATTTCCTTTATCATTCAAATTTGTTGATATTATGTTATGTTATAAATACGTACAGGGTGTTCCAATTAGAACTTCCCACCTGGAAAATATCGGAATTAAAAAAAACCTGAGACATTTCGATTTTCCTTTCAAGAAGGACACATGATGGGGCGTAAACTACTCTTAAACTTTAAATGACACCCTATGTTGGGTGACACCTCATTTTAAAGCTTTTTCAATTCTACTCACGACGACATACGATTTTTTAAATTTTAGTTTAGATATGTCAATAAAATCAACACTTAAAAATCAATACGAACTTCAGGATTTTTTTTTTAGAAAACTATACTATATTTTTTTTATTTGAATCTTTGAAACTATTTTATTTGTAGAAAACAAAAAAAAATCTATTATAAAATTTAAATTAATTGAAGTGCATTGAAGTGATGAGGTAAGAGACGTTTTTTCTGTTTATTTATGCCACGTTTCACAACCGCTGTGTCATTCTGAAACATACTACTGGTACTGCGAGATACAACTTCTATGAGCTACATACCCCAACAATTACTGGATTACACCACGTTAATACTCATAATACAATCATAATTACCACCCCAAAATGTTTTTATGAAACTACTAACACACGAACTAATCATAATTACGTAGTAGTTATTATTGAAATGTGATACAAATAGGATGGTATTCTTATCGGAAAACATTTTTATCTCAAAAACGATTCATTTGAATGAAGGTCTTAAAATTAGCTATAGAAATTAAAACAATGGGTCTATAATTTTTTATAAACAGTCATGGCCTCGCCAAGGGTGTACAGCCTCCAGTCTTAAAGTTAGTACCTACATTGAATATATTTGTGGAAATTACTTAAAACAGCCAGACAAAATATTCAGGAGTTAATAATACTACAAAACAAATACACAAACTTGTGATATTATTTTTGTAAGACTCATAACTTGTATATGATAATATGTAATATTTCGATATACGTATACTGTCGACAAAAAATACATATATTAACAATTTCACAGGACAGCAGCAGGAGTCTCTTTTAGTAAAAAAAAGTAAAAGAATGTGGAAGCAATTGTAATTGAAATTTAATATATTATTATTGTAACTACATTTGGCGTTAAATACAATTTTCACCAGCATAATCCTTGTAATAGGACGATGGGAATAATAAACAACAAATACGATTATGGAATGGAGGAGGGGGTGGTTAAAAAATGATTACATTTACTCCGATTTAGGTACGAGTGTATTAATAGGAGCTTATTAGATGAGATTGTTATTAGCATAGTACTTATTTAACTAGTATACTATATAATTTAGTGGAATTAATCAAATTGCTCAGTATTTAGTGAACTCAATGGATTCTCTCAGGAGATTTAATGTGTTCAGTCACATCAATTATCTAACGTACAGTGTAATATTCACTGTCAAGAAGTATCTATTCGTTTACTTTAAATGTAATCTTACTTAAATAATGTGGATATTTTCCATTTCTGCTGCTGTCATACTTTCCACTTCCATCGTTGACGTACCTTCCAGTCCCATCATGGTGATATAATCCACTATAATCTGGAATATACTTTCCAGAATCATCTGGAATGTATCGACCTTCATCACCAGTAGGAACGTAAGCTCCAGAATTATCCTGAACGTATACTCCATCGTCTTGAGCATAACAACTTGCAAATGTAATAAAAATGCAGAACTAAAAGAAATGTTATTGAATTACTTCATTTGTTGCAAATTATTTAAGAATCTATTTACTAATAATAGATTTTCCTGTTACATCATATATTGCATATTAAAGTCGACATATCTCGAAAACAAGTAAATATAGGGAAAAACTATACAGGGTGGTCCGAATTTTATGCAGGAAACTTCCAGGGCAGATAGATCTCTTTAAAATAATAGGTGTTTGCCTTATAAACATAGGTCTGGAACGGCCTCGTTTTAGAGATACAGGGTGTTGAAGTTGTTAAAAAAAATTAATTTTTTGTTTATATCTCCGGAATCTATTAACCGATCTGAACAAAATTTGGTACAGATAATGGATGACAGTAGGCCTTGCATTCTCTAAAATATGAGCTCTAAAGGATCTACCAGTGGTGTACAACTGGACAGGGTCACCCTTTTTTTATAAAAAAAACCTACGCCACTGTATTTTTTACAATCTATTGTAACGGATTTATATTCTAATGTACAAAATACGTAAAAAAGGTAACGTGAATTTTTTCCCTAAAGTTCACCGTTCTCAAGTTATTCATACGAATACAATCTCCTTGTGGCGGATACTTCTAACCATAATATTACAAGAATATTTATGTTTATGCTTAAAAGTAAGTGCAATTTGTAAGCACATCAACAAAATTCTTTACACTCGTCGCTTTCATCTTTTGGATTAAAACGATATTTGGAAAATCACGACGGCTCAATGAAAGACACAGAAATGAAATTTTAAGAACATTGGGGTGAGTAAATCGAAAATTTGAAAAGTTCTACATAAGGATGGTAGAAATCCGTACTATTTACAACCTGTGCAAAATTTACTTCCGGGAGATGTAGACACACCTGAATTTTTGTTAGTGGTTGTTTTAAAGTCACAACATAATCCAGAATTCTTACTAGAAATACTTTGGACCGATGAGGCTACGTTCACAAGGCGAGGGGTAGTGAATTTTCACAATATTTGGTCACAAGAAAATCCTCGTGAAATTCGGATAAGATCTTTTCAACGAATTTTCTGGCTCGGAATAATTCGGACTTTATTTCTTGTCACCCCATCTAAATTCCCAGCATTTCTAAACTTTCTAGAAAACCATCTATTTGAATTATTAGAGGATGTTCCATTAAATATACCACAAAATAGCTGGATACAAATGGATGGTGCTCCTGCGCATTTTAGGAGAATAATACAATAATGGCTTAAAAATTATATGGGGCGATGGATAGGTTGAAGACCAAATGCCAATGTCAACCATAATGGTGCAGAGAATCCAGTCTCTTGGCCAGCCAAATCGCCAGATCTAAACCCCCTGGACTTCTACGTTTGGGGTTACCTATCTGAAAAGTAAAGTTTACTCTACTCCACCACAACTACTGCAGCGAATAGAAGAGGGGTGTAATGAATTAAAAGAAAACCACCACATGATATTAGTTAGGTAATTCCATTAATCATTAATAGAAATTGTCAGAAATGTATCGATGTGGATGGTTCGCATTTTGAACAATTGCTGCAAATACGTAACGTTAATTTCATTTCTTGTTTAATTGTCGTTGCTTGGTAAATGTATTTTTATTATTATTTTCATTTAAATTGTCCTTATTTGTAAAGATAGTGGATTAAGCCTCCAGGAGAAACTAAAATACACTAGGAACACTACCTCACAGGTGATGTGGAAATAATTTTGTTGATCTGCTTACAAATTGCACTTCCTTTTAAGCATAAACATAAATATTCTTGTAATATTATGGTTTGAAGTGTCTGCCACAAGGGGTTTGTATTTGTATGAATAACTTGAGAACGGTGAATCTTAGGGAAAAAATTCAAGTTACCTTTTTTACGTATTTAGTGCATTAGAATATAAATCCGTTACAATAACTTGTAAAAAATACAGTGGCGTAGTTTTTTTTATAAAAAGAGGGCGACCCCTGTCCAGTTGTACACCACTGGTTGAACCTTTAGAGCTCATATTTTAGGGAATGCAAGGCCTACTGTCATACATTATCTGTACCAAATTTTATTGAGATCGGTTAATAGATTCCGGAGATATAAACAAAAAATCAATTTTTTTTAACAACTTCAACACCCTGTATCTCTAAAACGAGGCCGTTCCAGACCTATGTTTATAATGCAAACACCTATTATTTTAAAGAGATCTATCTGCCCTCGAAGTTTCCTGCATAAAATTCAGACCACCCTGTATTTTACAAAAATTAGTACAAATTTAACCATCTTTCAGATGGACCACGTTCCAGGGATAAAATTTTTTTTAGTATCGCCACACCGTCTATACAGAAAGATTTGAACTAACAATTCTAACTACAATTTGAAGCTATTCGAGGGACCTAACAACCCCAATTTCCAGAACTAAAATAAATTTCTTCATTTCGAAGATATTGTCAGCATGAGTGTTAAATGGCACACCCTGTATATTGTCATGTTTTTTTATTTTGAACTAGTTGAACCCTGCCACACTTCGCCACATTATTCGCATTATTTTCTAAGAAATCAGAAAATTTGCACAGATAATGAATTTTCCACTATATCTTATATAAGCTCTGGTGTTCCAAAAGCGAGTATTTTGGAACCCTTGTTATACTTAAATTATTTATACCAATGATTTATTTTCTAACATTAAATTTTGTAAGATTCTAGGTTATGCTGATGATACGGAACTATATTACTCTTTCAATGACAATAATGCGCAGGAAGTTGCTAACAACATTAATATTGACCTAAAAGCAATTTATGAGTATTCAGTCGCTCATAATATAAAAGTAAATTCGCGCAAATTGTATTTTATATTATTTGGTAATAACAAAGATTTTGCACTAATTTTACCTAATTTTAAGCTAAAGTTAGATGATGGCGTATTGTCATCCTCGATTAAACTAAAAAATGTAGGTCTAATAATTGACCCATTTTTAGGGTTTCGAGAACATGTTACCAGCCTAAACAGTAGAGCTTACTGCGTTTTAAAATGTATTCCTTAGTTCTTTCGTTATTTAATTATACTGATATTATCTATGGTTCCAGCATTGATTCCATCACTCGTAATCGTATCCAAAAGGTTCAGAATTCTTGTTGTCGTTTAGTTTTCGGATTAAGAAAGTTTGATAGAACTTCTGAGAATTTAAAAATTCTAAACTGTTTGCCTATGCGTTACCTCTGGGAAATTCACCTGGTAAACTTTGTCAACCGCTTATTATTAACTGGCGAACCCTCTTATCTTCTTTCAAAAATACCATATCGATATACCTTGCACAATGTCAATATAAGATCAGGTAAGAACTTAGCTATGCCAAGACACTATACTTCTATTTTCCAGAGGTAATTCTCCTATAATTCTATTAACAATTATGTATAACAAACTTGACAATGAACTGAAAAAATTGAGCTGTGCATCTATTAAATACAAATTAAAGCAATTATTATATTTAAGCGTATATAGGCTTACTTGTAATTCTAAATTGGCCATATTAAAGGTTATATGATTTATAAGACGGTTTTTTATATTTATTTGTTTTATATAGAGGTTTGGGTAGATTCTGTGTTAAAACATGTTTATTTTGTATACACACTTTGTTTTTTGTAATTCGATCGCTCATTTACATTTACATCATTATTATTATTATTATTATTAAAAAAAATAGCCAAATCGGTCCAGCCGTTCTCAAGTGATGCGCTTACCAAGGAGCGGCATTTAATTTTTATATAGATAAATTGTTATGCATTAATATCTTTATCGCAAACAGGCCCTTTAACTTTGTAATTTAAATTAATTTTTATGTGAAAAGTTATGTTGACATTTGTGACATTTGATTTAAATATTAATGAACTATAATAATATAAAGATTCAGGAAACATTTTCTTCACTATAATCTTCACATGCAAGTCCATATGAGTGTTCCCTTAATTAGAGAAAGTAGTAATATTAAATAATTTATAAGAAGTATTATTTTGGCATGTAATATGTAGGCAACCTATTTGAAGTTTAATTGTTTACTTTACTATATTTTTTGCAACATGTTTACTATACTTTAATTGTCTGGATATTTGATCATGAAAACAAAACTACAATATTAAATAAGCTCTTGTACCATGAGGGGTTGATTTAAAAAATAACTATTACTTATTAAAAAATCTCACGTTTACGCATTTCAAAAGAAACCTTTGCTTTTGTACTAAATGCACAAATACCACAGCTCCACAAAAAAAAGGTTCTGTACAAGAGGCAGGAGTACATAGATCGTGTGTTGTGTACCTACCATACAGTTATACATTTGGTAGTACGAAATACAAGGCTGTAGTTTTTCACATTGTTTTGTTCTAACATTCGTTATTTGATTTTATGCGTAGAATTAACCCCCTCGTTTTCTTTCCAATACTCTAAATATTATTTTAAAATGTTTTCTCAAAGTATTTACTTGTTGCTTTTCATTATAAAGCTTTACTTGATCCTCATGATTTCACCGTATTTTAGGGAATATTTTAGCGTTTTACTGAAAAATGCCTTGGTGGATCGGCTTTTGGGCTGGGAATTCGGATTCAGCATGAAAAAATACACCAGGTCTATGTACTTATATCTCTGGCACAGAATTCTTTGTTTATATGGAGCTGCTCCAAGTTCATTAAAGTTAAAGGACATTTTCTCATGAAAAATATGTGAGAACGATATTTAAAAAATATGTAGTTAATATATGATATGTTAACATTAGTGATTTCAATTATTTTAATAATAAAATTAATAGTTCCTCTCTTGCGGATCTTAAATTCTTTAAAGAACCCACGTTGATTCGTCTATCTATATTAAGCCAGATATACGAGTGTACCGGTTTATAATGGTAGGACTTCCCTCTCGATGAAAAACCTCATTTAAGATTGAAAAATATATCTCTATCGAGAAATTATTGGGTCTAGAGGTATAAAATATTAAAGCCTATTTTCTATATTTACTGCAAAGCTTTTCGTCTTTAATTTGGCAA